AATATTGCACTGTTGGAGTCTTGTCAGTACCTGGATAAATGATTTAAACCTGTTAGTTTAATCTTAATTAAGCGCAGCCACATGTTTACTCGCATTTTTGGTGGGATTAATGGGGTTGAGCTCATTATTCGTGCGTTTGACCCGATCCTGAGAGGTTTCGCAATGGTTCAAGTAAATGCCTTCAGTTTGCAAGAGATTGGAATAAACAGCCATTTCACTGTGTGAAGGAATTCTGTGTGTTTGGAAACACACATGCCTTGTTTGCTAAAAAATAATGTCAAAAATGTGTTTCATATTTGGTTTCAGTTTGCCTCATTGCTGTGTGAAGTAATCTGAAGAAATGTGCTTTTGCAAAGGCATTGATGCATGGGATGGTAGCTCCTGTGTGTGTCTGTGAGTTTGTGTGCACTGGTTTGGGATGTTTACGAGGATGCACATTTGCATGATGACATGGATATGATCTATGCATTACAATTTATGAGGACATGCAAATTAATGTGTCCTCATAATGCTTTAAATCATACTTATGTTTCAAACAAGGGTAGGGATTAGTGTATAGTGATTTAAAAAACATTACGCCAATGGAGAGTCCTCATAAACCACCAAAAACAGTAACTGTGTGTGTGTGTGTGTGTGTGTGTGTGTGTGTGTTTGTGTGTGTTTGTGTGTGTTTGTGTGTGTGTGTGTGTGTGTGTGTGTGTGTGTGTTTGTGTTTGTGTTTGTGTTTGTGTTTGTGTTTGTGTTTGTTTGTTTGTTTGTGTGTGTGTGTGTGTGTGTGTGTGTGTGTGTGTGTGTGTGTGTGTGTGTGTGTGTGTGTGTGTGTGTGTGTGTGTGTGTGTGTGTGTGTGTGTGTGTGTGTGTGTGTTTCAGCTTGATATTGTGATACAGCTTGAAAAATACCAGATGACTCAATCTAACTCTTCAGCGTGCTGGGGGACAGTGACCCCAGTCTATAATGAGACACACACATTTATTACATTCCTCTTGCCTCTGGTGCTCATTTTTTGGAGATTTGGAGACACTGAACAGATAAGATGCTTCCTTTCCTGTCTTGTGTGTTTTTTTTTTCCTCAACTTTTTATAAATTTGATCTATTTTTTTTACATTCATTAATCTTTTTAGACTATTGTTTTAACAGGACTTGTTTTAGCTCTGTTTCGATTTTTACAACATTCATACATTATATAATGTATAAAAGTAAAGGGACATTAATTTTAAATATAAATAAAAATAATAACTATTTATATGCACAGGTGTCTTCAGTGTACTGTTTCTAGCGCATCTGACCAGTGAATCCAGCTCGTGTAATCAATTTAACTGTAGTTGCTAATTTCTGTTTGATTAGTTTAGTGAAATAAAAACCACATCAATTATTTTTCAAAGGAGGTAACTTTATTGATCTTTATTGTTGTCTAGTGATGGGAAGTTCGGATCATTTTACTGACTTGGATCTTTGAGTCTCGTTCATCAAGATGAACAAATCTTTTTTCGAGTCATTTCGTTAATTTGGTTCAATTTGCCAAAATATTATTAAAATGTTACGAATTGCTTCCAAACACATATACAACTAGGACATATACAACTATAACAAGGAGAAAATAATAATTCAATGTTTACCTGCTCTTTTGTCTATGAAGGCATTGTTTTCTCTTTGCTCAGCTCACCTCTTCATGTCTTCAAATATCAGGGGTTCATTCACGTTACACTGACAGTCACATATAATCTAAATCAATGCACAGTCTAAGCCGATAGGAGCCATGATCGTTCGTTCATCACGTGACAGAATGACTCAAACCAGAGGACTCAAGAGATGAACGGTTCAATTCTTTTTCCGACTCTAAATGCGTATGATTTGCCCGTGAGGAACGAGTGACTCAGACCAGATCGAGGACTCGTGAGATGAACAGATCAAAACTTTTTCCGGCTCTAAACGCATATGATTGGCTTGTGATGAACGAGTGACTCAGACCCGATAGAGGACTCGAGAGGTAAGCGGATCAATTCTTTTTCCGGCTCTAAACGCATATGATTTGCTTCTGACAATGTGATGAAGACTTAAAATTAATGATACTACCTGCACAAATGTGCGCACGCGCGGATGAACAAATCACTCCCTGAGAGGACTCGTAGTTCCCGAGTCATATTGAAGATTCGTTCAAAAAGAACGAATCGTTCATGAACGACCCATCACTATTGTGATCCGGATAGTCATCATACTTTGTGTAAAAGTGGAGGAGGAAGGGTGAAGAACAAAACAATACCTTCAGATTCAGAGATCAATCTAGTTCACGCTACATTTAAACATCTCACAAAAATGTTCAAATTTGTCATTACACTCAACATAAATGTAACTAAAACAACGCAACATAAATGTTTGATTTATCTTGAGTGTAATGACAAACTTAATGTTTTTGTGAGAGGCTTTAGATTTATTTATTTTTTTTAGTTTAATGTACATTCAACATACTCCATGATTCACTGCACAAATAATTGGACAACATTTGGATTAGTACAATAAATTGAAAACACTCTGTGGCATCTTTAATATATTTTAAGATATATTTTTTGGTTTTATATTAGGGTTGGGTCGATAGACGATGCCATCGTCCATCGCTGATAGCCATCACGATGCTGAGCCGTCATCGCTATCCTCCGCCACCGTCGCTGCAGCAACCCGCTCGCGAAAAATACACATTTAGGCCCCATTTACACTAATACGTCTTAGTTTTAAAATGACATATTAGAACGAAAACGATCTACGTCCACTCTGCTGTTTCTTCTAGCATTTCTGAAAAGCCTTCCTTTTACACTATACTGCTGAAAACGCTCATCACGTGACCACACACACAAACACTGTCATGCGCTGCAGCCTCTGAGCTCCAGCAGTCAGCGCAGAGAGCAGTGCATGTCAGACAGTTTATCAAGGATGTACTGCTGGATTGCGTCTAGTTGTTAAAGTGATATATAATTAATCTCGTCTCTGTCTAACGACTCTTCATAAATAATTAATTCACCGCTGCCTACGATGACCATGCCATCATCCATTGCGATGTTGCACATTAGACATTGTACCATGCTAAATTGGTCGACATCGCCCAACCCTTTTTTATATAAGCAGGTATTTATTATAATATTTACTATATTTGTTTTATCCTAAATGTTTTTTGCAAGAATAAAAGGTAATGAAGCTGACATGGCGTTAAAGGTAATACAATCTAACCTCATCATAACATCAATACGTGTTGTGATACTGTTAATGTTTACTTGATACTGTTTACGAACTAATAATAATAATAAAGAAATGAGGGATTAAGGAAATGTGGTACAGCTACTACAGTTTTTTGTGTTATTGCTGTTTTATTAGTAGTAGATTACTTTGGGGAGGGCGTGAATATTGTCAGGAATTCAAGGAGTAAAATTTTTTTTTTTTTATTATTTAATCAAGTGATCAATGACAAGATAACCCAAAGATTGTTGTTGTTAAAATGTCTATCTAATACAGCGAATTCCAAGCTTTACACTACAAGTAGTACAATATAATTACATTTTTAGGTAGTAAGCCTTCCACAAGCTTTTATTTTTTTAGATTAATCTCCTAGGGCTTTAATGGCCACATACGTGGACAGCACATTTTAGCTCTTAAGTGGCTATTTAAAAAACTTTGAATGTTTTATATTTTGTTACAGACATGCAGTGTCATCCTGACTGTTTTTGTGTTTTTGTGTTTTGCAGCATATGAAATGTCCCAAACACTATTTTAACTGTCCAAAATGGGCAAAACATTTTTGTTTTTTTTCTCTCTGATAGTCAAAACATGTTCAAAATTATGTACGTGTTATTAATGCATTTTTAAAAAGTCAGGAAAAAGTATTTTATGTAAGTTCGGACCACGAGTCCACATATATGGAGATTATTTTTCTCTAAAAGTTCATCATATCAAAAGATAATTATTAGGTTCCAATATGTGTAACCCCACCGTTTCTACTCAACCCAATCCGCTCTGAGCTGGTATCGAACCGACGACCTTCCGCATAGGAATCGGTTGCTCTAACAAGGAGGCTAAAGACCATGGCTTCTAGTGTCAGTCGCTAGAGCACCTTTAGAGGTCAGAGGAGTGAGGTTTACCTGCATAACACTTACTAGCTGGCCTCCGTTACACTCACCCCCCTAAACCTCACTCCCATCCGGGTCACGGTACCAATGTAATCCCGCCGGTCCTACGCCACCCAACTCTCTCCGAGCTGGTATCAAACCGGCGATATTCCGCATGGGATTCGGGTGCTCTACCAAGGAGGCTAAAGACCATGGCTCCTAGCGTCTGTCGCTAGAGCACCTTTAGAGGTCAGATGAGTGAGGTTTACCTGCACAGCACTTACTAGCTGGCCTCCGTTACGTATGCTCTAATAGCAAAGAGAAATAAAAAAATGCATGTAAAAAAAAAAAAAAAAAAAAAAAAAAAAAACAGCCTGGGCCTTAAAAGGTTAAAGCTCACATTTCGTTCGAGGTGAAATTCCTGCATCAGTAAGATAATATGTTGCATGAGTCTGGATTAAATCCTTTCAGACGTCTAAATGTAAACATTTTAAGCAACTGCTGCTCTTTTCAGATTTAAAACTTTGACAATAATTAAATTTTTGGACTTTTTGTAAACGTAAACTTCATTCAGAATTATATAAAAGTGATTTAAAGGTTTTTTTGTTCCTGCTCTTGCATTCACCATCACTCTTTCCCAGTGGGATAATCTTCTTTCTGAAAAACACTGGAAAACAATGAACTCCTTTCACAGTATAGCACACAAAAAAATAACTTTCCTTTTCAGTCAACTTCTTTCCTCATGAACCGATTAAATCCCAACACATAGTCTTTGTGAAATGAATGAGCAGTCAATCAGAGGCTCGCGTTTGGTAAGAGTTTACCCGATGATGATGCTGTAAATGTGGTTAACACAGCTTTTGCCTGCAGCAGTGCGTGACGGTGTGTTGTGTGTTGTCCCTGTGCAGGTGAGAGATGGATATGAGAGAGGTGTATGTGGTAGCCGGCAGCTTCGTGGGTTTCCAGCTCTTCTTCTCCTGCGTCAGTCCCGTTCTGTCTTCCAACTTCACGCAGGGTTATGGGAAACTTCCACCGAACAAACTCAACGACTGGAACTCCAGGTATTGCTCACATCTGCTTTAACGAGGGTCATGGTGGAAATGCATGGATGCTGAACAGTTTAAATGGACATTGGATGGGTAACTAGATATGTATGAATGAAAGTCAAAATAATTAGCCCTCCTGTGATATATATATGTATATGTATGTATATGTATATGTGTGTGTATTAGGGGTGTCAAAATTAATTGTTTCTTTGGTGCACCGCGATGCAGACGCGGACAATAAAGTATCTGTTCAGCAATAATCATAACCGGTTATTATGTACTGACGTCATTTATCTCCTATGCTCTCTGTCGCGAGGGAGGTGAGCGCGAGTATTTACAACACTTAGCCAACTCAGGGCCGGCCCGTGGCATAGGCACCATAGGCAAACGCTAAGGGTGCTGTATACCCAGGGGGGCGCCAGAAATGAGCGCGGTTCAGTTGGTTTTGTTTTCAATATTCCTGACACACATTCAGTTATAGACGCCAATAACTCAAAAACCTCTAACCCTAAAAAGATCTAAAGTGAGTTTCCTACAAAAAGACAAAGCTGGTTATGTTTCACAGCTGTCTTTCTTTTTTTCGCTCGACATTACGATCACTGCTCCGTTTAAGCCCTCACAATATGTGTTTAGCCGGGACAGCTCGCGCTGTGGAGCTCTCAGTAAGGGACCGTCGGAAAAGTGCCTCTTTTTTTTTTTTTCTCGTTTTTCTGCTCCGCTCAGCGCGAGCTCTCCCTGTTGCGAGGGCTTAAGTGTGTGTGTGTGTGTGTGTGTGTGTGTGTGTGTGTTTGTTTGTTTCTTTGGTGCTGTCTATGTTTGTGTATGTGTTCGAATGAGAGACAGTGTGGTACTGTGTGTCTGTGCGTTTATACAGACAGCTTGCTATAGCCTCCCCCCTAAAATATAACACTGTATATGGAAAGCATTGTCAATGCACTGTGATGCACCGAGATATCGAATTGAACCGAATCGAAGGCATGATAATCGTAACCGAACCGTGAGACCAGTATAGGTTCACACCTCTAGTGTGTATGTATATGTATTCAAGCTGATATATTATGCACAACAACAAGCTGAGCGTTTTTTGGACGTGCGCGAAAAGGACGTTAATGTTCACTGAAATTTACACATCGGCCTCTGGTGGATTTACGAGAAATTTCTTGTATAGGAAAAACTTTCCCAGTAACATAATTGAGATTGTACACAGTGCCCTCTAGTAGATTCACAAAAACTAAAACTGCAGGACTGTGTTGTCCAGGGTATATATTTGTCAGTTCTCAAAAATTTAGTCCTGGGTACATATTTCCAATGAGCATGGGTTGTTAATTTCAGTAACATTACTGAATGGTATGCAAATGCTTATATTATTTATGTACAATACCGTTTGTAAAGCAATTATTTTTCTGTCTTTTAATAGATATATGACAGACTTAAATTTTTTTGACCAAACAAGCATTGTTAAACTTAAATATAATATTATATAATATTAAATATAATAATTATATAATATTACATTATAAATAGGATATTATATAATAATATTTTATTTCATTCGTTAAGTTTTTAGTTACTGTACTCTTAAAAATCAATCCTAGATTTGCAGACCCCCCCCCCAAATTCTTCATGTATTATGATGTTGCAGTAGATGTGTGTTTCTGGCATAAGCAACGTCCAGTGATCTCTGTACTGAAATTGTGCAATGTCAGTTTGGTCTAATCACCTTTCCTCTTTGTAATCTCTTGAACCTGGTTAACTTTGACCTTACACCGCTAAGTTAAGAAGATATTGCTCACTCTATGATACTTTAAATGGCTATATAATATATCAGAGGTTTTTAATCTTGAATTGTTTTGAGAAGATGCTTGATACCCTGCTGGTTGTTTTGACATCCTGGATTGCTTTTAAAGTTCTGACCAGTCTTTGAAATTGATATGATATTCTGTCAGCAAATCTCATTTCTTTAACAATAATGTGAGCACAGAGCACACAATTACCTGCACTAATTGCTCATACTGCCTGGAGAAATGCAGTTGCAGCTGTAATAACAATCTATAGTTTGTGAAAGTATTCCACTGCTTTTGAATGGTGCCATATGTTATTTAAAGTATGTTTTGTGCACACAAGACTCTCAAGGATTTTAGTAATGGTGCAGTAGTACTTGAGATTGAAAAATGTGCATGATTTTTGTGTGTTTTTGTAGCAAAACTGTCAAAAATACTAGGTTTTTAGAAACGCCATCACATAATCGGCCATTTTAGTCCTGGCAAATTCATGAAGGGACTGACAAGAGTTTTTGCACAGTATATATACACAAATATCTTTAAAAACTCCACCTCAGTACTGAAATATTTGTAATTTAATCCTGAATGAGGTTAATGTGTACATTGGATGTTTATTGAGTAAATCAGTTGTGAAGTATTTCCTGCTAAACTCTACTGTATTCCCAAGACTTGCAGTGATCTTTATAAAGTGTTGGTGTTTTTGGTTGATGTGCTGTCAAAGGGTGAACCGTTCCTTGGGGCGTTTCTCAACATGCAGATAACAGATACAAAGGTCTGCAGTCCACAGACAGTGTTCAGATATTTAAAGCAATCAGGCCTGTGAACGCCACACTAACGGATCAAATCAAACCATAGTTGTTCTTGGACTATCAGCTATCTGAGAGATAGCATTTCCTGCTGTCTCAGCAACATGTAATCAGTGTCATATTCCTGATGCCTGTTTCCACATTGCGCAAACCGTACAATGACTTTGCGGAGGATTCACTTTATCAAAGTAATTTCTAAGTGAATGCCACTTCTCAATCTGTTTCATTTGAAATGTTTTTTATTTATTATAGACCTAAAAAAACTTCTTCCCAAAAACTTTACAATTACCAAACCTGCATATAACTTAAGAACTGTGTGCAATTGTTAAGACTTTAAGAACAAAAAGCCATTGGGGTTTGAAGGTCTAAAGCAGGGATGTAAAACTCAATCCCTGGAGGGCCGCAGTAGAGATCTGCGCGGGATTTAATTTTGAATCCCGCTCCCGCCCGCAACCGCCAGGTTTTAGCCCGAACCCGACAGCTCCCGCTTACATTCAGCATTTGTTGTCCGGCTGCCCGACCCGCCCCGTTTTCTACCCGCCGCGCCCGATCCCGCTAAGGAGCGGGGGGAGAACAAAACCGAAAACCACCCAGCTATAGAGTCCAGACAGCCTATAGCAAGCTGTCTGTATAAACACACACACACACAGCACCAAGCACACAGACAAAGCTCTCTCTCTCTCTCTCTCTCTCTCTCTCTCTCTCTCTTTCTCTTTCTCTCTCTCTCTCTCTCTCTCTCTCTCTCATTCGCACGCATTAACACACACACATACACACACACACACACACACACACACACACATAAGCACCAAGCACACACACAGGCAAAGCTCTCTCTCTCATTCGCGTGTGCGCACACACAAACACCACTCATTCACGTGTGCGCACACACACAGCAACAAACAAGATAAATACAGCATCGCGCTATTTCATTTACACACATACATACATTAGGTGTGTTGGAGCAGGGTTGAAACTAAACTGTGCAGGGCTGCGGCCCTCCAGCAATTGAGTTTGACCTCCCTGGTCTAACTAGTTCGTTTGGTGTGCTCCGCACGTTGCTTCTTATTGGGTTAACACAGTGTTTCTCAATTCAAGTCCTTGCCCCGGAGTGCAAGTGTGATGTAGTAAAGTGATGAAGCAAGTAAACAAGTCAAGAAGGAACACAAAACAGCAAAATCGCTACATTTTTCAAATATTTGCATGTATCAGACATATTTGCAGAAGTGAAACCCTCCGTGGTGAGTGAAAGTTGCTGTAAAAATAGCCCCAAATGCTGCTTTGTGTGCACACACCCCATTGTAAACAGTCTTTTAATTTTCAGTCAGCCAGACCAAACGCTTCCAGTGAACTATCACAAAATCATCACGTTTAAAGTGCAGCTAGGTTACCTCTTTTTTCAGATTTAATAGGAGTCTTTTGTATCTCCAGATTGTGTCTGTAAAGTTTCAGGTTAAAACACCCATCAGATTTTTTATTACACCTTTAATAAGTTTCTATTTGATACCTTTTAGCATCAGGTATCGGTTTTGTTGTACTGCGCCTTTAAGGCTAGTCCTCCCCGCCCAGTGTTTCTACGTGCCTTTCTGCATGCCTTAATCTCCTCCCTCGGCTGCGTCAGACAACAGACAGACTTAAAGGAAGAAGATCTTACATATTGTTTGTGAGAAATACTACAGTAAGAACTTTACCAATGAGTATTTGATGCATGTGTTGTTGAGTTGCAACGATGAGTCACACACAAAATCGTTACAAAGTAGTGTGAAGGGAGATGTGAATAGAGATGCTCCCTGCATGTCTCGCTGTGATGTGCGATTTCTAAAATGAGAGCCTGCATAGGCCTATTGGTGCCAGTCTGTAAGGTAAAATTGAATGAAACACATGCTGAAAATTCTTTAAAATGGATAGATCTAACGATTTCACATTTATCGTGATAATTATCTATATCGACTGATCTTGATACTTTTTTTTTTGCCGTATCACCCAGCCCTAATTACACATAACAAATTAATTAAAGTAACTAATTTCTTTTGAAATTCAATTCAATCATTCACAACTCTAAATTCTAATTAAAATTGCATACTGATTGCATCCAGAATTTAGATTTTACTTGACTATTTTTTTAGGTCTATGCCTTAAATGTTTGTTGTTTTATGTCCTCAGGTTGGTGTCCACTGTCCATGCACTAATTGTGGGACTGTTCTGTCTCTACATCCTCTGGTATGACGATGCTGTAAATGAAGACCCCGTCTGGTAAGATGCAGAAAGTTTACAAACCGAGCGTCTTTACTGTACATCCTCATGTACTTTCATTGTGATAGTTTTTCATTTCTCACTGTTGAAAGCCAAACTTGCATGTAGAACTGCTATCGTTGAATCCATAAAACACCCCAAGATTCGGAGAAATCAAACACACACGGTTAGTAGCAGTCAATAAGGAAATTCCGTGATAAATTTCGAGACTTCCCTTCATCTAGTGAGGTTTTGAATGAATTCTTTGCTCTGTCCTCTATAGTCGCCATTGCACCGAACTGCCGTCTCATTTGTCTTCTTGTCTTTTATTTTTCTTTTCTTCTGTCCCTCTCTTTAATCTTTCCTTTTCTGCCTGCTGCCTGTTTGGTCTGCATCTTTGCATCCTGAAGGGGAAGAATGGTAATTTGTCTTTAGTGGTTGTCTCCTTCTCTGTCCTATCGCTCTCTGCTTCAAAACCCAGGGAATTGCTTAGCAAGACCGAACCATTGCTCACAGTTTCTATAATTGATAACCAAAAAGCATTACAAATGATCATTTAGTCCGGTTAGTCTTATTTACTTGATGTATATTTATATGCACTTTAGGGTAACTGTATCATTTGATTAGCACAATGCCTAATGTGTATTGAATTAGTATTATTAATTAGTATGAATTAGCGTAATATTCATATTTACGCTACATCTGAAATTGGTGGTTTTGTCAAATAGGCGGCTCACTAGGTTTTGAAACAGAGCACATATCTCCTTTTCATTTGGCTTTTTATATTCATATCTTTTGGCATTTTCCTCTAGGACGATTTAATAAAGGGTCATGTATAATAACACAATAAGGTTGCCACAATACTTGAATTCCATACCAATCAATACTGACATTTTAAAAACGTCCATTTGAGCGCTGTTGAGCACGTTCTTAAACAGCGCTGATTTGCCATTGTGTTTTTATGTTCAACGGAAATGACTGTGATTGGCCGTGAAGGTCATCAGTTCACCAAACTTACCAATGTTTACTGCATATAACCACAGATACAGGGACACTAGAGTGTTTAAAAGCCGCGATTCATCAGTGAATCACCGGTATGTCAGCTTATAGACAAACCAACTAATCGACGTGACTTTAAACTCTCCTGTGTTCCAGTATTTTTGGTTACACTCAGTTAACAGTGATGAGTTCGGTGAACTGATGACCTTCACAGCCAATCTCATTCGTTTCTGTTGAGCATGTTAACACAATGGCTGTTTCTCAATTCCAAGAACACATAGAACGAACTTGCTTTCTTGTGTAGACCTGTCTTGCCAAGTTACCTTGAAGGAACGAATTTGGGAGACCGCGAGAACACTGAACGTTTCCTTTGAGAAATGAGATTATGCTTTCTTCCTTATGGTCACATGACCTCCACATGTTTTTAATGGAAAGTTTTTTAAACATTACAGCATTTATACATCGGTTTATTCTTTTTTCCCCTTTTCACTATATATAACATGCATAAACACTTTACCAGTATACATTGCACAATACAAATAAAACAGATTTTAATACGAATTTCAGCAAATAAACACCCTTAATGTGTTTATTCCTTTATTAAGATGTTCATGTTGAAGTTTACTTTTACAGTCTCATTTAGAGAAACTCCTGAGACAAATAAGTTACATCTTCGAACTTTATTAATAAATCTATATGAAATGCTGCGCTTCCAACCTCCTTATTCAGCCACAATGACTTCTGAGACTTCTTGAACGAGTTTTGCGCTCAAGTCTGCATCGATGCGTCCTTGATATCAAGAACACATCTGGGAACCTTTATGCGTCCTCTGTTCTTGCGGTCTTGAGTTTTGGAACTCAACTTTGGCAGTTGATGATGACAACACGAGGAAGAAAGAACACTGAAGAACGCATATTGAGAAAACAGCAATAACAAATCAGCGCTATTGAAGAACGCGCTCGAATGTTCGTGGCAAATGGACGTTTTTAAAACTTCAGTACCCATTGGTACCGATTTCCAGTATCGTGACAACACTATAACACAATGCTTCATTTGACTATTTTATTTGAGTGTCATTCAGGTAGTATTTTAGTTTTTATTTATTACTTGAAATAATGCTATTTTATTGTATGATATTATTTTAGTTCAAGTTTTAGCAATTTAGTTAGCATTTTAGTATTTCTGCGTAGTTTTATTCATGTTTTGTTTTAGTTTGAATTATTGCAGTTTGTCATGTATTGAAAATTTTCATCCATTTTTTTTTGTTCAGTAAAATAAATAAATGGCACTGGTCCTAATGAATGGGTAAACAATCTTTTATTTAAATCGCTATTGCATTTTTATTGTTTTGATGGCTGTGTAAAGGAAACGCAAAGGCATTTATTACTCCACAAAGCAAGTTCTTTACGTAAAAAAATATATAGTAAAATTAAATAATTAAGCAGTCTTTACTGTGCCTAACAACTTTCCCTTAAGCCTGGTTTATACTTCTGCGTCGAGTGATCGGTGTGACCCACGGTGCCTGCCTTGCGCATTGTTGCGCATTTTTACTTCTGCGCGCTGTAAAACAAATCAAATAAATGGTTTGTACTGATAAAAGAATGGTTTAAAGTACTGTATTTTAATTTCTTAATAGAGTAATTTATAATGGCTTCCAATCAACATCAAGGACTGGAATAATACTTTTTTTTGAATACATATAAATTTGTATTTGACACTGGCATACAATATACAATTACATTCTTTAACATAAAATACAGTTGTGCATAATAATGGAATTAGTTACATCCAGAATAACATTTTCCCCAGTTTCTATTCTACTTTTATGTCTTTCCCCTTTCCCATCACCTCCTGCTTTATTATCCTCTGTTTTCTTTGCTCACCTTTGAGGTTCGACATATTCAGAGAGGAAGAGGTGTACCTGTTTTCAGTCTCTCTCTCTTTCTTTCTCTCTCTTCTCTCAGATCAGAAAGTTTTAATCTTGCCAACAAGGCGGCTTTTGAACAGGAAACAACAGATTCTCCTCTGGGGGATTATGTGTCCAGACCCCCTCTCTTCTGTCCCTTTTTAGCCTGTAAAGCAACCCCAAAGGAGTATAAGAGAGGGGAGAGGCTGGGGAATCATCATTTTTGTCCACTTCATCCTCATCTCAGTACAAAAACAGGGTCATTCTAAGATATTTATCTATTTATACATTGATTGTCACAACTTCTGAAGGTTGTTTTGTTTTAACTAAAGCAAGTGCTCATGTGTTTTTATATTAAATAATAAGCCTGAACAAGATATTGATTGAGCATCGATATTGCAATGTGTGTAACTATTTATTAAAGATTAAACGATAAAGATATTAATAAATATTACTTTTGTATTATTATATAAAATTATTTACAGGATGATGGCCATGTTATTTTACATTGGGTTGTTCAATGTTTGTGTTTGAATACTGTTAGACTACCTGGAAATTAGGGGTGTCACGATTTCGATTTTTAATCGAAATCGATCGAAAATTATGCTCAATTTCGATTATTGAATTAAAAAATAGAATCGTTGATGCTGCCACGCCCCCATGTCACGTCAGCTTGGCTTGCCAAGCGGGAAAAAAACAGGCTTGTTGAAGTGCTTGTTAAACTGCAGAAGCAGGAGACCCGTCGACAGAACTTAAACCCTCTCCTCTTTCAATGAAGTCGCCAGTGTGGAAGCATTTTGAATTTCCAGTGAGTGATGTTGACAACGTTCGTGTTGTCGACAAAAAAAAAACACAGTTTTGCAAGCTCTGCTATGTACGTATTATGTACGGTTCGTCCGATAGACAATACTGGCATCGTGATCCTCCGCCCGGCCCCGTTGCAAATCCGCTCACGAAAAGTACACACACAGGCCCTGTTTACACTGTCTTTGTTTTTAAATGGCATTTTAGAACGACAACAATTTGACATCCACAGTGGCGTGTAGAATTTCTGAGCAGCCCTCCTTCCTCTCTACCTCTGAAAATACACATCACGTGACCACACAGACGCACACACAGCCATTTGAGCTCGAGAGAGCAGGTCCAGGCAGTCAGAGGACTGCTTCAATCTTTCACTCACTTGTACTTAGTCATTTTAGCGAACACCTCAGATACTGTTGGCTGGTTCCTGTTGGTTGTGCGTTTTTTTTACCGACGCCATTATAACGACACAGATCACTGCCTATTCACGAGTCCCGCAGAAAAAGTGATTGACAGGTGGTAATTATGTGTGTATCTTGCCTTTATTCGTTTACTGTATGATTTGTTTATGGGTAAAACAAAGACCATGCAGGTCAGGTAGTTTAAATGGTAGTCTACAAATAAATAATTGGTCATTAATTAATTATTCATAATCGAAAATCAAATCGAATCATTCCTTCAGAATCGAAAATGTAATCGAATCGAGGATTTGGAGGATCGTGACACCCTTACTGGAAAGCCATAAAGCACTGTTTATTGAACTTTTATTTTTGCTCTGTCATATTTTTATATGCTTGCAATTTATTTTAGTTTATGCAGATGCACTATGAAGCCTGATTAGTCTCAAAGATAATACATTTACACAATATTCTTCATACATCCACAAGTCACATTTACAAAACCCAGATTGTAAGTTCAAAACAGTTCGTTTATAACCAATCCAGTTCGTAAATTTAAAACACGATTCATAAATGCACAAATTTACTCTGTAAATTCAAACACGATTTGAAAATACACAAACCCAATTCCCAAGTTTAAAACACGATTCTTAAATACACAAATTCAATCCGTAAATTCTAAACTTGATTTAAAAATACACAAATCCAGTCCATAAATTCAAAACACGATTCAAAAATACACAAATCGGATTCCTAAGTTCAAACAACGATTCATAAATACACAAATCTGTAAATTCTAAATCTTATTTAAAAATACACAAATACAAACCGTAAATTCTAAACATTTAAAATTACACAAATCCAGTTAATAAGTTCAAAACACGATTCATAAATGCACAAATCCAATCCGTAAATTC